TATCTTTCTTCCTTTTTTTTTTAAAGATCTCATGATAAGTACTTGCACATCAAGCCAAAAATGCTTTTCATGGCTGAAAGCCCTTCCGGGACTAGAATGTTGGAGCGAAATGACTATTTTATGTCTACCAAACTGTCTTGTTTTGGAGTTTTAGTATTTCCAAATTTAAAGTGGTGGATTAGAAGATTGCGTGCTGGAGTGGCGGAGTGGTCGGAACTGTGCCAGGCTTCTCTGTGGCAAGTACTAATGGAAGGACAGGCCGGAAGTGGACACAGACAAGTTGCATGACTTCAATATAGTATGGTCATATTGTCCAGCAATGCAGTGACCACTGAAGCAGTCTACTGTCTTGGTTTGTGTCACATATGATGAACCAAAATAAATGAGAAAAGTGATTAATCACTGTAAGGCAACTCCTGTAAAAGTTTTCAATAAGACCCAATCATGCAGTTAGGGATGTGCTACCGTAGGCACTGATGAGGAGGTGCAGAGGAACTAGATGTTTGATTCTAATGTTGGTCAGATTCTCATCAGGCGACACGCATGCCTCCCCTTTGAGTGTTGTTTGCAGAGGGGAGAATGTGGTTGACTGATCTAAAAGGAAATTACTGGAGAGAGAGCTTATCCTTGCCTTTGACTGATAATCAGCTCATTATCGTGTTGATCATTTACAGCTCTCCCTCTCACCGCCTCTCTATTCTTTCTGTTGTGTCACTGAAGCAGAGCACGGAGACTTTTAATGGCTTGGCAGGGAGCCTGCTGTGGTGAAGCTGAATTAAAACAAGTACCAGCCGGGGCGGCTGGTCTCTACTCTGACTCAGAGCCGGTCCCCGCCCCTCGTATCGCTGCTCCTGGAGAAGTGGAAAAATTAAAGGAAAACAACAACGGCGATAACAACAACATACGCAACCCTGACGTGGGCGCTGCACTAGCGCCCCCAACATGGCTAACTGTGCATGAAATTGAACTGATTGGAGTTATTGACCATACGGCTTTAGCCCCCGAGAGGACAGGGAGCACTGTGGATCAGTGGAAGTGGAGTTGGTGGTGCTGCCGGTGGTGGTAGAGGGGCTGGTGTTACCTGATTGAGTGAAAAATCCTGCACTGGTTGCTTTGATGCCTGGCACTT